TGGGTTGTGCGCAACAATGAACTTATAGCAAGGACGCTAGGTTGCAGTCATATGTTACACTGCTTGTGTTGTTTCGAAAGATGCCTGCTGCTACACATAATATGTCTTTGTGTTGCTGAGGCCGTGAAAGCCTGCATGCTCAGCTGCTTGCTCAGGCTGGTTTTGCTCATATTGGTCATGCTGGCCAAACAGACGACCTTCGCATTGGAGCAGCCCCGTGGATCACTACTGTTCCGCCACAGTAGATGGGAGTGGCTTGTGAATCGGGTTGCTGTGGCTTCTGGGTCGCACTACTGGTTACCAAAAGCAATTGCATCCGGGTGTTGTGCACAGCTTTCGATCCGAACATCCTAGGTATTCAGCTGCCACTTCTGGATGATGTTGCATGGTGCACCATCTCCCAAACCGACCACTCTGTGGAGCCCCATGAGTACGATTACTAAGCTAGACCGTGGCAGGCTGACCAAGGCAGTCCGCTCTCGCAAAACTACACTACAACTTGTACGTGCCTTTGCAAAAAAATATTTGTTAATGTTGGCCTTGCACGTACATACCTAGCTGCACGCATTGCCCAGGTAGGCATGTGGACAAATCCGGGAAACGTCGCTTCACGGGGAACAATACGAATCTCAAGCAGTCCGGGCGGCTTGGCACCACTAAATCCTGCAAAAGCAGCTTAGCACATGTGCCTTTAAACACGGGTTCTGGGCTCCTATAACTCCCTGGCTATAGTCGCTCACTTCCAAGGATCTACACCACTCAGTTTGCCAAGAACCTGCTGCTGGCTTACGAGGAATGGTGTGGGAAGCCTTCTTCAGAACGCGGGGATCTTCGAACTCGAAGATCTGTAGATGGGCTACGTACAGATCGGGAGTTGTTTGGGGCCATGGCCACTGGAGACATGTGGTTGGATTCACGAGTCCATGAAGTCTTCTTTTACCTCTATGGGTGCAAGCATTGTGAGACTCTTGCCATGAATGTGAGGGATCGACAGCCTAGCCCTGGAAGCCCATGACCCTGCTGAATTGATCCCTGAAGCCTGAAGCCTTAAATCCTCTAGGTATGTTAGTCCTTGAACAAATCGGATCGCCGAGGATTCCCGACAGCTGGCTGGAGGCGATGGAAGCATTTCACGCCGATCTTCGAAGCAACGTGTCCTGGGTTGCATCAACCGCCATTACAAGTATGCATAGTGCCCATCAGCCCCAAGCCCCCCAGCGCCTAGCTGTATGAATTAAGCTAGCTATGAGGGCCACACAACCCGTGAGCAGAAACCCTGGCCCTGGCTCTCGATCCGAATCTTATGTTGAAGATGATTCTGCTATTCAAAACCTGAACTCGCTGGTACATTAATGTTATATGGGCAAGCTAGCCTAGGCATTGCATGATACACATCTAGGTCTAGGTTCAGCCATGGAGGTCGCGACTTCTGCAACAGAACCATGAAATCCTCGGAGCCACCTTAAAATCCAAGCACCACCTAATCACCCTCATAAGCCCTCAGGACTGAAGCCATTCCTGGTCTAGATCGATCGCAATGGGGGTTTGTGCTTTAGGACTGCAATAGTTAACTATAACATAGTTACATAATGAAAAGAAAGGGCTTCCGCAGGTACATAATGAAAAGAAAGGGCTTCCGCAGGGTACATATCCTACCGGTGCAAGATCTCCTTTTCGGTAGAGCCTCTAGAGCTAATACCAGCTAGCTTGTGCCCGGATTTGGGGTTTCGCACAGGGGTCTTTCAAGACTAGTGACGGGCACGGATGCAAAAGTCGAGGGTTGGGGTTGGGTTGTAGCAGTTAAGGTCGGCTTCCAGCAAGTCCGATTTCAACAAATTATATAGATCCCACGGCTTACCCACAATCCCACGAACCGCGACCCGGCTTCAAAACCACGGGCTGTAGGCGAGACTGGGGCAGGATTAGGTCTAGAAGGACAAGTCCAGGGAAACCCGGTGTCCCGCAGCACGCTGAGGCCCCCCTTCAAAACCTTGGGGGCTGTGGGCTAGACTGGGGCAGGATTGGGTCTACAAGGACAACTAGAAGGGAAACCCGGTGTCCCGAGGCCAAGGTCCCTTCAAAACCCTGGGGCTGTAGGCTAGACTGGGTCTAGAAGGACAACTAGAAGGGAAACCCGGTGTCGCCGAGGCCCTCGGATCTGCTGAGCTCCGCCAGGAGCTAGTGGCAGCGTCCTCTTCCCAAGAGGCAACAGGAGAGGCTTGAGCAGTTTTTACTTAATTCGAGCTGTTTTGGGTTTACGGGAAAGTTCGGGCAGAAACCCAACCCGCAATCCGGGCGCATATTCCCGCTAACCGGGCGCATATTCCCGCAAACGGGCGCAATCTAAATTTCTGCCCGAGGGCCTCGTACACTTCCCGAAAATATTGATCACTTTGCCTGAGCGCCCCCCGAGGCACCCAAGCATAGCCCAATTCGTAATCGATGGACATGCAAGCACCGGCAGTTCTGGGAAAAGTGCCAATTGCATAGCATGATATTTGATGAGAAATGAGCATTTGCAGCCTACTTGGGTTTCGCTTTGTGTGGGCTTGTGCTAGCTTGCTCAAGCTTTTGCTGTAAGCTGGCAGCTCATGGCCTCTAGGCTGTGGTCCTGTGAAACATTAGTTGCAGGAATCCCAATGGTAGCACCAATGGATGTCTCTAGTGCAGCCCCTGCAAGCGATCTCCAGGCCAAGATCAATGTCACTTGCCACATTAAATAGCAAGCTGTATGCATGTATGGTGGACAACATAGACCGACTCTCGAGTGAACCCATCAAGGCTGCCAGGGCACGCATCGCCCAGCTTCAGGGTGCTTTGCAGAAGCACCCCAGCAGTGCCTCTTTGGACGGATCTGTTCCAGGTGGGCTTTCAGTCTTGAATGGGTCTCAGGGCTTGGGCTTAGGGGCCTAGAGCTTTCAGTGTCTTTGCTAAGTGTGTCCATGGTCTGTGACCTTTGGTAGTTAATTCACTATGCAGTGTTTTGTCCTTCTTGTGCTTAGTCAAAGTTATTGGCAGCTCCCTATCAATTGTCCTTGTACCCAGCTTCTGCTACTCCGTGGTCGGGAAAACAGTTCCATGACACGCCAGCTAGTTTAGTTCTGTGTATGATTCTATTTTTCGGGTCTGTAGGAATCATTTACTGGGATAGACCACCATCGGCTGTCATCGTATTTATTTAGATTAAGTTTAAACCACGACTCCCTAAACCCTAAACCCTCAAGCTCCGATGTCTTCTTCTCCATGCCTTATGTACCGGTTTTCTTGCCACTTCGCAAGGTACTGTGAGGTTTGGTCGTGTGGCCTTTTCGAGATCTTTGCACTGCATTGTAGGTTTCCGTGGGTACCGAGAACAGGTATAGTAGCTAGTTATTGATGTGTGTGTGTATATATATATGCTTTTAATGTGTCTATATATATTTATATATATATATATGAGTGTAATGTAGATAGAGATAGATTTCGTGGATAGATAGGTAGGTAGATAGGTAGCTAGCACGACTACACTAGACACAACCGGAAATCATACATAGGTTGTATACAAATTATGTTTGCGAGGCCAACAACAAATAGATATATGTGAACGCATGGCTTTAAGTATGTATGTATGTATATAATGTATGTATGTATTTATGTATGTATGTATGTATGTATGTATGTATGTATGTGTACGTGTTTGTGTCTGGAAGGTTTTTAAGTGCAACTGAGGCACTTTGTTGCATGTAATTATATCTTGCCTGTTTGTTATGTTATATATGTTATGCTATGTTATGTTAGGTTAGGTTATGTTATGTTACGTTATGTTGTGTTATGTGGTGTGTGTATGTATGTACATGTATATGTATATGTACATGTGCTTATGTATCTGTATATGTATATGAGTATGCATATGTATATGCATATGTATATGTATATGTATATGTATGGCCATAGGCATGTATGCATGTCCGCATATGAAGGTATCTTTTCAACACCTTTAATACTCTCGTCGTGCCTGTCCTCATTTGGGGTAATTATGCACGCACTACTATCTATTTCGGGGATGTCCATACTATCTAGTACACATGTGCTATGTACGTACATACATACATGCATACATACATACATACATACATACATACATACATATACATACATACATATTAATATAGATAGCAGATCGAATATATATATATATGTGTGTGTGTGTGTAAACATATAGTCTTACGGACTGATACTTCTGGATGACCAGGAGCACCCTTCATCGCGAAGCCAGTCAACACTCCGATGATTGCTGGCAAGCACCCTGCCAAGCTGACAAAGGTTCATGTCAGCAGCCAGGATGCTCAGGTGGAGCCGTCTGAGCCGGGAACTGCAACCCTGAAGTTAGGAGAGACCTTTGAGACCCTCGACGATGAGGCCAAACCAACCCCTAGCCGCCGTCACGCTGCTGCCATCAAGCCAACCCGATCCCCGAAGTGTGCTCCGCCTGCAGCAGGGCCGACGCCAGGTGCAGGGGTGCCTGTCGAGGATAAGGCTTGGAAGGACTTGCCCAGAACCCCTGCGAGCAAGCGAAGTCGAAGCAGTGAGAAGTTGCTGAGCCCCGCCGACTCTGCTGTGGCTGGCCTGCAATACGTATCTACATTTAATACATAATCACTAGAACGATGGCCCAGAGATCACCATACACCTAATCCGAGGCCCATTCGAAATCCTCGTGCGATGGCAGTGACAGATCTGACTGCAAGAAGAAGCGGTCCCAGTCCCCGACATACTGGAAGATTCTTCGCTTGCATACATACGTGCAATATTAACTAGCATGCTGTCCGCCGTGCATGATCGTTCTTCAGCAAGCATCCAGGCTGTGACGGTACTTTACCCCGAAGGGCTGCGGCACCCTGAAGTGTTCAAAGGAGGCCCTTGAGCTCTACAAGACAGAAGCCGGACGCTTCTGTGCTAGATTAAATTGTGATGCGATGCGATGATAAACCCTGCTTGTGCACGCTTACCAAATATGTAAGGCCAGAAGCTAACGGATCTGTTCAATCAGCACGGCTCGTTCTCCGCTATGGAGGTTCAGGTGAAAAAATGGAGCAAGTCTGTGCTGGGGAAGACACGGGCAGGAGGCTGGTACACACGTGCATATCTTGGTACCCAAGCGGGCTGGACCAAGAGACTTGCTTGCATTCCTATCCAGCTACATACCAGCTTAGTACAGTTGTGAATATATGTGCCCATGCTATGGTGTCATGCGAGGAAGATGATCGACACAGCCTTCAAGTGGGCCTCAACCCATGGCCTCAACCGTGTCAATCCTGTCCATGGAGAGGAGGAAGCACGACTCGTGCTGAACGACACGTTCCAACTTTGTGACGAAACGGGCCAAGCAATGGAGTTCACCGGCAACATGGAAGTGGAGGACCAGCCTAGCTTTCGTACTGATCTTGCATGACATTACTTGTGCCTATCGCCCCACTCGTGCATGTGTCTCATACTATAGGATGACTCGGGCTTTCTGATGAATGCTGACACCCCCGGCATCGACTCCGTACCCGAACGGTTGCTGTCAAGCTTGGGAGCCGGAGCTGCCTCGAGTTCGGGCGCCACTGCAGCAGTCACCAGCCAGGCCGCCTCCTTCAAGTGCCTTGGATCTGAGAAGGTTCCAGGTGTCGGAAAATGTTCGATTGATATCCTGAATAGATCGACAACCTTCCGAGGATCGTGTTCCCGACCGTCTCTCAGAACGAGTCACCGGTATCCATATTGGGCAACTTTGTGGAGGTGCTGGGCAGGAAGGTCGACAGCTGCGAAGACCAGCTGGAGACTGCATGGGATAACAAGACATTTAAATAGGTACCGATTATATCATTTAGATCTTGTTCGAACAGAATGTATAGCATGCACCTTACCGATTGCAGGAGATGTTGGACTGCAAGAATCCTCGATCGAAGTCGTTTCTCGATGGCAACGCAATTCTAAAAGTACCTTAAAGATCCTTAAGCTAAATGCACCCTAAACTATGGCCCTAAACCCTAAACCCTAAGCTCAGACCGTTGAAGGGTTGGAGAGGAGTAGGCTCGAAGTGTAGCATATTGCCTATCTTGATTGTTAAGCTGTCTTGGCATATAATATATTATATGGTTTTAGCCTAAACCCGAGCTAGCTTGATAAACCCTGAGCACTTAACCTCCACACCCCGCCGCCTGCCCCGACTCCCTATACCGATTCAGGCTTCGCGACCAAATGGAGCTGATCCTGCAGAGCTTGAAGAAGCACTACTCCCAGCTTGCCCAGAAGCAGGCAGATGTTATCACGTCCGTGCCGGACCAGCCCCTACCCCGGAAATAGATCCAGTCTGTCTGCTCTGCCCGGGAGCATACACTATAGCTGTATAGTCTAGCATTGATAGCCCAGGTCATTCAACGACGAGCTGCTCAAGCTCTATGCGGACATCACGAAGCAAGATGTGTTGCTTGGGAACTATGTGACACGTGCCAGGAGCCTCGCCTGAATTTCCAATGCCTCCAAATCATAAACCGTAGCCTTAAGCCTTAGCCCGAAGCCTTGAACCTTCATCGAGAACACAACCCCAAAAAGCGCGAGCCTAATGCAGCCTTAAGTCTTGAAGCATGTCTGCAGAGCGGATCGAACATACTCTAGTGGATGCGGATCTTCATGAGTACAGCACTTTCCGAAGTAGCAATGCTATTGTATATACATACCCGAATCTCCGAGATCTTGTGGGCTAGCTCTCACCCTCGAAAGCATCCCCGTCACAATCGAGAGTGCCAAACTCAGAACCATATCTATCGTTCACACAACAGAGTGCCACTAATCATATCTTCTTGGTAAGCCAAGGTCCTCCCAGAGCCACCACCGTGGTCGTAGCTATCCGCAGCAGTATAAAACATTAACATATGGCACTAGTCGTGGCAAATGCGATTTCTCCCACAACAAGAATTCTACTTATAAACAACTAAAAACTCCCATGCTGCTATACTGCTGCTGGTACTGCTGCTGCTGCTGCTACGACGACCGAACCAGTGCTACTTCTGCTACGAGCATCGACCGAGTATTGCGAAATTGTACCGTAGTCTACTACTAGCACTTGCTCCTGCAGCTGCTACTACTACTACTGCTGCTGCTGCTGCTACTACTACTACTACTACTGCTACTACTACTACTACTACTACTTCTGCTATATATACTACGAGCTCACTCGCACCCTTACTCCTACTCCTACTGCTACTGCTCGTGCCACTGCTACTCGTACTACTATATATTGTACTAGCACGATTATAATAAAGATACGACGACGGGCTACGTTTACTACCGCTGCTGCTGCTGCTGATGCTATTCTTGGTACTGCTGCTGCTGCTACTACTACTACTACTACTGCTGCTACTACTACTACTACTCCTCCTACTACTACTGCTGCTGCTGCCGCCGCCGCTGCTGCTGCTGCCGCTGCCGCCGCCGCCACCACCACCACCACC